TGTTTTAAAAAGGTCTATATCCAATCTCACACAAAGTAAAAAAAAATTTTTTTAAGTGTAAAATAGTTTTTTTTTTTTTTTTTTAAGATTTTATTTATTTGACAGAGAGACACACAGCGAGAGAGGGAACACAAGCAAGGGGAGCGGGAGAGGGAGAAGCAGGCTTCCCGCCGAGCAGGGAGCCCGATGCAGGGCTCGATTCCAGGACCCTGGGATCATGACCTGAGCCTGAGGCAGATGCTTGACTGACTGAGCCACCCAGGTGCCCATCTCCATCTTTAATATATGGGAAAAATAGGCCAATGTCACTGTATTAGCCCACGCACACAGACAAACCCCTCACCCCATCAAGAAGAGGTGAGACAGACAGACACACATACACCCCTACTAACCCTTGGATGGGCAGACAAGAATGGTTCAGTGATTTTTTTTTTTTTCCATCCTGACAGTGGAAAACTGTGCTAGTGAAATGGTATTTGCTAATAATAAACAGCACATATGGATGCAACTGGATAGAAGTTTTACAAAATGAACTCCTCTTTCTTGCTCAACAGTTCAGTATGTGCTCAGGAAACACAGAACATAAACCTAGAAGGGACATCATCTATTTAAATAGCCAACCCCACCCTCAAATGAGCTTTATAAATTCTAGAATATTACCTCCTAGTTAAGGAGCACGATTTTTACATCAGAGTGCCTCTGGCTCTAGGGCTGGCACTTCTAGCTAAAACCGCTAAGTCTCAGTTTCGCCAGCTGTAAAAAGGGGGTGACACTCCACTGGTTGTGGGGAGGCTGCTAGTGGTATACATGGTAAGCACTTAACTCACAAGCTTTCTTTTACCTGCTCTCCTTACAAGGCCAGACTTTATTAAAAAGTTCTTATTAAAGGCTTGGCAAAGTAAAATAAACACAATGGAAGAGGTCTTGATTAATGAGAATAAATTAGTTCATGAAAAACAAAGCTAAGAAAACATAGGTCAAGAAACCAGGAGGAAGTAATTCCATCCACCACTGGGGAAAAAATAGGGTTGCTCTTTTTTTAAAATGGATAAAAATCATACAATCAATCCCATAATTGAAATGTCTTTTTCACAGGAGAAAACTAGTATTAATATCCTCAAATTATCTAAGATAATCCCCCCCCCAAAAAATCAGAGGCCTCAATTCCTATTTTCACACCTTTACCACTTCACCTCATTCAATAAAAAGCTTACAAAATGCTACCCACATTTTACCTGCTAAATGAGGTCCTCTCTCCTGAGACCGCATACTTTAAAAGGCAGGTGACAAAACTGCAACTTGAAGAACTCAGAGAGGTCCAACACTAATACCAGAAGTGGTCTCAGAACCAACACAAGGAAATAAGTGCTAAAATAAGGACCAGCACTGCATTCAAGAAATTCCTAAACCCTTTATTTTATCAAAGTAGTCCTACTTTTTCATTTACACAGTTCCTGGTAGTTTACAAAGCTTTCATTTGGGAATACCTGAGATAAAAGTGAGGCTTGGAGAAGACAAGTAACTTTCCCAGAAAAGGGAAGCTGTATACTTTACTTGTTCCTTTCCGAGGGTGGGCAAGAGCCTCTCCCTCCCCTGGTTTACCTGGTTGGCCAGGTAATCCCTCAGGAGCAACTGACTCCCCATCTACTTTGCAAAACCATCAAGGATGTGTAATGACCATCTTTAGGTTTCCAAATTCAGTGTCATTTCCATATGAGAAAGGTAAATAGTTAGGGTTCTGAAAGAATACAACTCTTCAGTCCAGACATTGTGGAAATCCTCTGCATAGATAAGGACGCGTGCATAGTCAATTTGGTATGATTGTTTTTGACCTGGGGACTTTGGTGGCCCAGTCAAGGCAATAATGTTTCTTTTGAATAGGAGTCATAAAATAATTAGTCACAGCTGCAATGTAAAAAAACCACTGTCAGGAAAGCTTAAGATTTCTTACCTATTAAATGGGAAAGAAATATGCAGATAGAACATTAATAAGAACAGTTAAGATTAAAATTCTATTTTCTAATTGGGAGTAAAACTATAAATCTAAGACTCTTCCAATGTAAGCCTAAAGAAAGTAGAATAAAGATATTTAAGAAATAGAAAATACCCTAGTTTTTCCAATGAATGCATTACTAAATGGCCATGAGCTCCTTCATATTTCAAGTGTCATGTGTCTGAAATGGAGCCCAAGTTAGCATTATTCACAATTCATTTATTTACTATAGTCAAATATTTCTAATGTTCATCTTCATGGTGCTCGAAAAAAGAACCACCAACAAATAATTTTAGAGCTAGGATTAAAGTGAATGACAAAAAATAATCGGCAAAGCACTGTTATCTCTTCACTTAAATGTCAGATAGTTCAATTTTCTATTTTAAAAAGTACTATATACTGGTGTGTAGATAATGAAGCACAGAGGAGGTAAAAAGTCCAGATTACCACACTGAAAATGTTTACTAATAAGCCCAAATTTTATATACATGAAGGTCTCAAGAAGAAACCAAGTAGAAAAAAAAAATCGATTAACTTCTAGTAAGTTTTCCCTGAACTGTCAAAACATTGAGAAAAATGAAAAACCCCAATATAACAACTTCTTGCTTGTAGCTAGGAAATTTTTACTAGCATGTGACCTACAATCACTAGGGGAAGATTGTCTTTGCCAAAAGAGGATACTGAATAGTCAAAGATAAACAGTTCTTAATATTGTCTTTTTCTAAATCAGATAACTTATTAGACTACCTCCATCTATTTTTTTTCTGGATTTGTTTCTCTATTTTGTCTAGACTTCCCAGACTCCAGGTCTGTAAGCAAATAACATTTCTGTTGTTTAAGCCACATAGTCTAATAGTATTTGTTATGGTAGCCCTAGCAGACCAATACTGCATTCAAACCAACAAAACAATTAGTGAGAATTTTTCTGCTGTCCCAACCTTTTAATTCTTATAAGAATTCCCTCAAAATGAGCTTACTGCACGCCCCCCCCCAGCACTAGTGGTGATGCTAAAGCAAATTTCCAGCTAACTACTTCCAGAAAGAAGGCAGATACAGTGGGTACAAGGGGTTAGGAAAAACGTGCAAACATTTTCCAATCAGGAAAAGAAGTTTTGAAATAAAACAAGAATCAGGCTTTAGCTCCTGAAAAGAATGAGAAAGTTTAAGAATAAACATCTATAACCCACAAGTTCCTGAAAGTAACTTAAATCCGACTTCAAGCTGGTTCTCATAGTGGCTTTAGGTGAGTTGCCCAACTCTTCTATTACTCAATTTCACATCTGATGTTAGCACATGACTACTTATTAGCTAGCACTTTAAAGACTTACTGGATGAAAGATGGGTCAGTCATGACTACAAGACTTATGATGATAAAATTTACTTTTACAATACACAGTGCATCGAATATACGATCTTGGTAATGAAAGAATTTGGGGGTAAAGTCCCAACCTCATTTTATCATCTCAAAAGATGACTTACTATAATCACCATTAAAAGGGGTACCTGGGTGGCCCGGTCAGTTAAGCATCTGCCTTTGGCTCAGATCATGATCTCAGGGTCCTGGGATTGAGTGCTGCCCGCATCGGGGTCCCTGCTCAGCAGGGAGTTGGCTTTTTCCTCTATCCCTCCCTCCTGCTTGCGCTCTCTCTCAAACACACTCTTTGTCAAATAAATAAATAAAATCTTTAAAAAAAGAAAAAGAATGGAATGTTTGTAAAGAGGAAATACCCACTACTTAAAAAAAAATTCTTATCCATTCAAAAGATGTCAAAGTCCTAAAACCAAGATAATCAAGAACAGAATCAGTATCAAAGGTAGTCTTCACATTCTTTATCAATCAAAAAAATCCAGACACTCCCATAATGTGAACTTGAATTCTATTTTAGACGTGCTCAAGTCACAAAAGTCCAACTCTAAATCCATCTAACTAAATCAGTATTCAAATTCAGTAAATCATATAACTACTTTTAAAGATGCCTGTAATTGTACTGTTAGTTCTTCCTAATATAATAGACAAATTTTGGACAGGGCAATTTTAAGATTTTATTTATTTTGGACAGGGCAATTTCATTCATACACTAACAAAGTTAAAAATATTTTAGGGGTGGGGTGCCTGGCTGGCTCAGTCAGTTAATAGACTGACTCTTGAACTCCGTTTAGGCCATGATCTCAGGGTCGTTAGACTGAGCCCTACACCTGGCTCTGCACTCAGTGAGGAGTCTGCTTGAGATCCTCTCTTGCCCTTTTTCTCTGCCCCTTCCCCAGCTCACGCTCTCTCTCTAAAATAAATAAATGTCTTTTTATTAAAATAAATATTTTTTAAAAAAAATTTAGGCCTGCCTGCGTGGCTCAATTGGTTGAGCCTCCAACTCTTGGTTTTGGTTCAGTTCATGATCTCATGGGTCATGGGATCAAGCCTTGTGTAGGCTCCCTGCTCAGTAGAAAGCCTGCTTGAAGATTCCCTCCCTCTGCCCCTCCCCCCAATCTCATGCTCGCATGCTCTCGCTCTCAAATAAATTTTTTTTTTTTTAAAGATTTTATTTATTTGCGAGAGAGAGAGAGAGAGAGAGGGAGAGTACAAGCAGGGGGAGTGGCAGGCAGAGGGAGAGATGTGGAACTCGATCCCAGGACCCTGAGGATCATGACCTGAGCTGAAGGCAGACACTTAACCATCTGAGCCACCCAGGTACCCCTCAAATAAATAAATCTTTTTTTTTCTTTTTTTAAAGATTTTATTTATTTTTTAGAGAGCGAGCGAGAGAGAAACAGCATGAGAGGGGAGAGGGTCAGAGGGAGAAGCAGGCTCCCCGCTGAGCCGGGGGCCCGATGTGGGACTCGATCCCAGGACCCTGGGATCATGACCTGAGCCGAAGGCAGACGCTTAACCATCTGAGCCACCCAGGCGCCCTAAATAAATCTTTTAAAAAATATTTTAAACTTTCTTGAGTTGCCATTTTATCTGGAGCTACCTTTTCAAATGATTCTTGGGTAATCACTTAAAGGATACAGTCTGTCATTGCTGCAACATCCAGTTTATCAATATCAGGTGAACCAGGGCAACACTTCTTGAATTCTTTTCGAAGGTCAAAAAAGGAATAGAAGCATTCAGGCAATAATACATTCTGAGGAATGACAAAAGTAGACACTGTTAACTAGATGAACTTAGTTCAATGCTTCTCTAATAATTAGAAACCTAAGAATTGAACGGAAATATATTTTACCACAATTAAATTTTTTAATCAAATATAAGAGTGACTTTATTATCTAGTACAGTATTACATCCTATACACAAGTGTCATGGAAAAAATACCTTATTTTAAGGTAATAGATTACCTTAAATAGATTACATTTGTGTTCCATCATGCATTCCATTCAAAACACTTTTGAAGCTATAATACATTTGGGCTGTCATGTATTTTCTGATTGATAAAACTACACTCTTTTCAGTCATAATCATTTCAGACCATCTGTATTTCAGGCAGCAATATTAGCTCTTTTAGTTCTCATAAAGAGGCCTATTTTTAGTGTCTACCTAGACACAGGATTCAGTTACAAAACAGTATTTTTAAATACTGGTTTCGTATAATACATATTTTCTGTACTGAATTCAGAGTAAGATAGTAAATTCATGATTACCTAAAAAGGATGATTTTTGTGCCAAGTTATAGTCCCACATTAGTTTTCCTGACCAAGATTCTGGCTATACCTGAGAACTCGAATTGGATGGGTGGATGGATGGATGGATGGAAGGAAGGAAGGAAAGAAGGAAAGAAAGAGAGAGAGAAAGAAAGAAAAAGATACCAAAAATCTCAAGAGCAAAGGAGAAACAGTTACCTGCTGTTCTTAGCTACTAGCACCACTCTTGTGGTTATTAAGCTAGTTCAACTGTCTGGGCAAATATTATACTATTATGTTTTTGTTTCCCCTAGTGTGTGTGGGGGGGGGAAGAACCCACATTGAATAACTTGCAAAGATGAATTTTTTAAAACTGAATTTACATTTTTATTACAATCTCAAATTAGTTTCTCTTTACTCACTGGGAATTTCTACCCATTTACACATTAGAAAGTCAAGGAAATAAAGACTTTTTAATGTTTGCAACCTATAACATTTATGCAATGTGTGTCTTTCTATCCAGACTTCCTAACTGGATTCTATTAGATGTAGACCTGCTCCTGCTATATTTAAAATAGATATCGTGGCACCTGGCTGGCTCAGTCATTAAAGCATGTGACTCTTGATCTCAGGGTTGTGAGTTCCAGCCCCATATTGGGTGTAGGGATTACTAAAAAAAAAAAAAAAAAAAAAAATCTTTTAAAAAAATAAAACAGATATCATTGTACCATGGTCCGTTTTCAAAACAGTTACTAAGAAAATGGTGAATCTTCAAGACTACCTACTAGAATGCTCATTTAAAAGCTGTTGGTTGATAATGAGAATAACTTGCATGTTCAACAATAAAAGATTAGTTTAAATAGCTATATCCACTTAAAATACTGAACATTTAATTCTTAAAAGATGTTATACTAAATTATAAAGTAGGCTAAAAAGTGTATAATATGAATGCTCCTTGTAAAAATAGATTTTTCTACAAACACCTGGAAGAATATTTTCAAATATGTTCATATTAGAGAAAAACACTTTAATATGGTTTTCTGAATGGCAAGATTATTTTGTTTTATGATTTTCTCTTTTTTTTTAATGAATAGAACTACCTTACGATACTAAGTCAGTTTCTTGTTTTAGGATACTGAATTAATTGTTTCAGGTTTCTTTATCAAAATCCTAATAGAAATGACTCAGGAAAATGTCTCAATTATTCTCTGGAGGTTTTCCCACATTTAAAGCAGTCCATCTAAAATAAAAACAGCTGTTTTCCTTCAGCCCAACAGGGAAAGGATTGTTTCATCCCTCTCCATAGGAGTTTGAGGGGAAGAAAAATATCCTCATGTATCTATTTCTGGATCGAGGGTATAGCAATTGGTCTAGCATCTAATTAATGAAAAACACCCCCCCTTTAATCGAATAATTACTAAGGTTGCTATAAAAGGAGTGGTTTTCTCAACTCTTAAGATATAGGGACTTGAATTTCTCTTTCAGACTTTTGAAACTGTCATTATATAACTTGTATCTTTCCATTTCTTCCCTAGTGAGGTAAAAAGAAAAATCTGCACTGACTAGCCACTAACGACATCAAATGTCAGTCTAAATCTTTCTTTGAAGACTTGCCTCATCCAGTGTCCTTAAAAATATTTTTCTTCATCTTTTCAAGTTCAGTATTTGCCTACCACAATAAAAAGTTACAGCTCAAACTAATTAAGTTGATAAGATCAACTATATTAGCAATGATTGGCTACATTGGGTCTGCCCTCTACACTCTCCATTTTCTCTCAGCCCCTCAGTATTCTTCCCAGGGAGAGAAATCACATTATCTACAGTCAGGTTGTATTTTTCTCACTATTTTCTTTTCCATATCAGAAAGACCAGCAAAGGTAAAAGATGAGGCTGGACCTACTGTTTTGACACAGTATTTGATCAGTTTTGAACATTTAAGTCAAAGTGCAGTATGCTATAATTAATGTTTCCCTAGTTATATGGCTGTCTTTACACAGTACAAAGCTCTTAAATGAAATTAGTTACAATTAAAAAGGTTTAATTCAACCTTTTTCTTTGCTCCTTCCTTTCTAAGATAAAGCATTTTCCACAGAGATGAGAATGTTACAATGTCTTAAAATTTAAAAGTAAATGTTTTCTCTTGCCTACTTGCTGTTAAAAGTCAAAAATTCAGCTCATATACTCTGGAAAAGGGAGAATGTCAACCATCTCAAAAACTTAACATAAACAAAAAGAGAAACTTTCATTAAGTCACCAGAGAATATCTATAAAATTACTGCCATCTCAAATAGCTCTATTGAAGGGTCATGAATTTTTTGTGGTAAAACACACATAACCCAGTATTTACCATTTTAACATGTAAGTGTACAGTTCAGTGCATTAAATACATTCACATTGTTGCGAAACCATCACCACCATTCCTTTGTCATCTTCTGAAGCTGAAATTCTGCCATCAAACAGTAACTCCCAACATGCATTTTTTTAAAAACGGAGAAACTTGGATAAACCATAAAAAAAAAAAAAAAAAGCAGCTTCCAGTGACCCCCAAAGGTCTAATCATTCTCTGAGAAGCCAGCGCACTTACCTTCTTGGAAGCCTCAGGATGCAGGATTTGCCTGACATGCAGCTGCCCATCAGTACAGAGGCAGAAGGAGGTTCCAACCCCAATATTCAGTTCATTGCTTACTGACTGGTTAAACTGAAAACAAGACACAGGGATGCAACTGATGCAGGATTTCCAAACTCTAGGCAAAGTGGCCCCACATGTTGATAACCAAGGAAAACCACACTGCCATATAAGGGGACACCAGTGCTGGGGCAATGTTAGAAAGGCTTCATTCCCACAAACTACCTAGATTCCTTTAGATAGGAAAGCTTTCCAATCAACCCACATTTCAGAGACAGGTCAATTTAGTATATACATTCTTCCTTCCATTCCCTCCTATTTTTGCAATAAATCCACATTCAAGACTTTTAAGCCGGGTCTCATTTCATCAGCAGGTTGCCTTCAGATTACATCATTCCCTGGTGTTACTTTGTTTTATGTTTGGATGTTCCAAGATTAAGAAAGATGCCAGTTTGTGATAAACAAATGTGGTTAATGGGTGTAAGGACCTCTGGAAGGTCTGGCCACACGTTTCCTGGAACAGAACCCCAAGATGATAACTTACCCCTATTAATTCACACCTTGTGTGCTAGGCAGGGGCCGTGAGAGATCTGAGCCTCACCTGTGCACAGGTGTGTAGCGCCCCGCCCTATCCCTGATCCAGTACCCAACAGAACCACGAAGCAGCCGGTGTCACCTCAATTCCATTAAGGGGATTCCACCAGTCTCAGTGACCCAACGAGCAGCCCTACATGCTCCGGCCTGCAAACCCTCCCCGGCGCTAGGACTAAGGCCACTGAAGAAGTGATAAGGCAACCAGAACCGAACCTGTCGGAGTCCAGAAGCCTGAAACCGAGCAGGCACCCTCAGGTTCCCACAACACCGGGGCCACCTCTAGCACGCCGCGTGGGGACCACCCGCTCCTCTACCCACAGCCACAGCGCCCTCTGTCCTAGGGCTGAGCCACAGACCCAAACCCCCGCAGAGAACAGGCGCGTCTGGGGTCTGGACCTGGGGATTGGGGCGCTAGGATTCAAACTCCGCTCATCATTCAACTGGTAAAGCCCGACTGATTCCGAGGCCCCAGGAATATCTCGAAAACTAGCGACTTTTGGCCCATGAGCCTAGGGGCTGGGAGGCTTGGAGGAGTAGCGACCTCCTCCCAAAAAGTCCACCCGGGCCTCCAGGCCGGGCTTCCACCCACGCGGCCGGGCGTCTCGCCACCCTGCCGGGGGATGCGAGTGGACCCGCGGGCGAGGGCGTGGGACCTGGTATGGCTGCCTTGGGGGAGGGGGGACGCCTGCGCGGCTTGGATAAGGGTGGGCGGCGCGGCCCAGGGCTGTCACCTGTCGGAGGGCTTGGTCCAGCTGCGGCGCGGAGGACAGACTTTCCGCGTCGATCTTAGTTTCTTCTTTACAATCCTCCGTCAGCTCCAACTGATCCGGTCTAACTAGTACTTCATGCAACTGTCCCACCTCCAGAGGGGAAAGAAGCTGGGGTCAGTTTTCCCCTTCCTCAATTTGGAAGCCTCCATATTCACCCTCCTCCCTCGCTCCCCTGCCCGGGCGGCCGGCGCCTCTCGTGGGGTCTGGCCGCAGAATCAAAGCTCACTTGTCGCGAGCGGCTCCAGTGGCAGCGAGGTCGGCACGGCCCTGCCTCCGGCCCCACCCCCACCCGGATCAGGTCGGAAAGGCCCTGGAAGTGGGAACCCGGGCCCCAGGGATCCCACCCCGGCTCCGCGGGGCGTCCCCCGACGGGCAGAGAACCCGGCTCGGCTGCGCCCGGCCTCCCCACCTGAGCCAGATTTCGGATTAGTGAAACGGTTCCAAAGCGTTCGGTTTTACTTCGGATTCTGTAGGCCTCGGGTCCAGCCTCATAAGTGGCCAAACAAGAACACTTGTTTACCGACTCCCCAAACTTCTACAACAAACTTCTTGCCCCATTCCTATCATTTGGACAGAAACCTGGAGAAATACCTTCTTGTTGGCCAGATCCACGACTTTCCATAACAGCAGGATCAGCTCCTTCTCATCCGAGCCCAGCTTGGCCCCCGTGGCCCCAGCAGTGATCCCAAAAAGCACCACCAAGTAATCCGGAGACGCCGTCATGACGATAGGTGGGGAGGGGGAGAGGGGGGTTGGGAGGCGGTGAAGTGGGGTGGAAGTGAGAACGAGAAAACCTGTGCTGAAACCTCTTCTAAGAGAAAAAGAAAGAGCGCCCACCCCCCCTCCTCTCAGCCGCTGGTGCAAAAGGCGGTAACCAACCACCCAAGCCCACACCTGGCCGGTGCTCCACACCCTGGGCAGGAAGGGGGGTGGGAAGGAAGGCGCAGGAGGCCTGCCCTTTTTGTATTCAATTGCCCGTGCGTCTATGCAAAAAGCTCGGAGCAGGGCTGCACCCCGGGTGGAGCGCGCAATGGCTGAAAGCTTTTCTGTTTTGGGATGTGGCTCTACCTGCCCGCCCCTTCCCCCTCCCCCACGTGGTGCAGGTAAGAGACACCTGGCGGCGCCGGCCCATTGGCTCCTTCAAACCACGACGTGGCAGCGGTGGGGGAGGAGGCCGCCTGGGGAAAGGGAAGGAGGGGGCGGGAGACAATGGCTGGATGAATGGAGAGGAGAGGGCGAGAAAGAAGGAGGGGGAGACGTGAGGGCGGGGAAGAGGCGGTTGCCACCTAAAGGGTAGCCCAGGCCAGACGGGAAAGGGGTGAGGGGTGAAAGGCGCGGAGGGGAGTGCCGGAGTCACTTGTGGGGGGAGGTCACCCCTTCTTTGAAGGTAACGGAGAGGGATGGGGGGCATGGAAAAATGCCGACTGTGGGGAGCGACGCCGGAGGTTCTTTTAAAGGGTCAAGAGAAAAGGCCTGGCGCCGGGAAGCGAAAGGAGGCCAGAGGTGAAGCCCTGGGTGCGGAGCTACTCAGGGCGCGGCGCCCGAAGAGGGCGACCCGCGGAGGGAGGTGCCGGCCAACGGTAGCCGGGAGGTGGCGGGGGCAGCTGCCAAACACCGGAAAAACCCCTCCCGAGCCCAACACACCTTTAAGTGCAGACTGTAGGCGAAACCCCGTGGGCCCTCCCCCGCTCCGAGCGGAGCCCAGGCACAAGCTGCTCTGAACCCGGGACGCTGCCCACCTTCTGGAGACAGCCAGACGCCCGGGGAGCACACTCAGCCACCAAGCTTCGCCCAAAGACGCGATGCAGCGCGCTTCGCAGCCGCAGGCCCCCTCGAGGAAATTTAGGCACAATTGACCCTACTTCCTTGTCTCTTAACTACTCCCTTAATTGCTAGGTCTTGTTCGGTCCTGGCTGCTAGTTGGAGACTAGAACCTTCTCCATGGCTGGGCCCACTTTCTTTGGTTTGCCCTGGGCTCTAAAGAAAACATACACTAATGTTTTCCTAAATCAGGCCAAAGCAAGTTTTTTCCTCAGTTCCCCGCTCTGAACCCCCGCCCCCTACTCATACCTTTGCCTTTGTACTTAGGTGTCGATTTGGCCAACCTTGCGAGCAATCTCCCTCCTAGGCTAGCTCTGCACAGAGGCTTAGGCGCCCACCATTACCACCCGGCCTCCAGGTCGGGGCCTTTTGACACGTGAGAGAAAAGCGCCAGAGGTGACGTTTCCTCGAGTTTTTTATTTCAAACTTAATCTACTCTTGTAAACCGAAATCCGTCTGAAGCACTACTAGTTGGGCCCCAGGTATTATATTCATGGTGTGAAATCGGGCAAGCATACACGCCCCGCAGTAACCCACTCCGGGTACAAATCTGAGAACCTGTCAGGATGCGTGTCTGGGGAGGCTGAAGATCGCGCGTCCTCCACCGGGAGGAAGCGCGGACAAAGTTGGGGGGCGGCTGAGGATTCCAGTGGCGGGAGGGGCGGGGTGGAGTTTGAGGAGCCCAGGGCCGAGCCGCCGCGCTTCCTGGCAGGTCCGTGCGGGCGGAGGCGCTGCCGCGGGTGGCCCAAGTAGCAGCTCGCGTCCGGGGAGAGCGGGCGGAGGCTGGGCTCCGCCGGGGCCAGGCAGCGCTGCAAGGTACCACGAGGGTGCTCGGTACCGTCCTCGTCCGCAGCTCGAGTTCCAGCGACGCGTGCTTTCCGCGCCTGGACTTCAGGGTGCGGGGTGGAAACTGGGCCCCCGCAGTCTTCCGCTGGCGTGCGGCGGCCGCCTCGCCCCCCACCCCCGGTCCCGGTGCAGAGCCCCCGGCCCGCGGGCGCCGCGGGGGCAGGGACTGGGTGCGGAGCGAGGCAGGGAGGGACCTGGAAAAACCACCCAGATTGCATTGCAGTGGGCGAGGCCGCCCGGAGGAGCCGGTTCCCCTGAGCCGCCGCCCCGCGGGCGTTCGCGGTGCGCGGTTCCCGGGGGCTTGGCCCTGTCTGGCGGGGACGCGGGACTCGGTGCGCGCTGGCCCACGCCGGACGGACCCGAGTGCGTGCGACCACCTCGAGGAGGGTCAACGCCGGGCGGCCGACAGTGGCGGAGAAAGTGGTTACGACCGCTCAGGAAGTCCTGCCCCGCGGGTCGTCTGGGGCCTCTGGTATTCGGATTAATCATTTGTGTAGCGCGTTTGGATAAACCGAGAACTTTATTATCGGCGCCTTTGTCAGGGATTCCGCGGCGCTATCCATATTAGAATCGAATCTCAGAGCTGCTCCTTTTCAGAGACTTGTCTTCTTCCTGTTTAAGGAAGTCCGATCCCTGGGTTCTCCTGTTTTGGATTTAAATTCGAATTTGTACAACCAGGTTACAAGGACAGGGATTTTGTTTTGTTTTTCCTCTAATGTATTCCGAGGGTTGGAACAGAGCCGGATGTACACTAGGCACTCAACAAATATTTGTTGAAAGATTTTAATGAGTAACACCCACCCATTTTTGCAGCTCTTGTTTCCTAGCGAGGGCATAGTTCATCACTGAGAAGGAGAAATTCTGAAAATGGGAGTCTACAGGTAATTTAAGTCTCAAGTGTTTAAAAAGAGTATGTGCTCATTCTTGGACGGACAAACCTACTTTTGTTAAATAAGTTAAACTCTTGTAAAATGCAGGAATGCCGAGAAAAAAGAAATCTATGCAACACTGCAGTTCTGAATACAAAAATGTCTATCCCACCATCTAGAATAATTCTAATATGCTAAGAATAATCAGTAAGAGGTGGCTGGGAGGGACCTTGAAGGGTGGATCACTCTACCGGTGGTCTTCACTCAAGACCACACTTAAAACTCCCAAAACAAATGAGAATCTGTTTTTGTGGTGTGTGTGTGTGTGTGTGTGTTTAGCAGCAGAGACCCAATTGTGAGACAGGCTACACAACATCTTGCCTGTATTCATGAAAATAATTATTAAAGTTATGAAGGACAAAGACTGAAGAACTGTTCTATATGAAAGGACTTTATGAGACATGACCACTAAATGCAGCATGGATCATGGACCCGGAACCTTCTCCCCCCCCCCACTTTAATGGACATTATTGAGGGGCGCCTGGGTGGCTCAGTAGGTTAAACCTCTGCCTTTGGCTCAGGTTATGATCGCAGAGCGCGGGGATGGAGCCTATAATCGGACTCCCTGCTCAGTGGGGAGTCTGCTTCTCCCTCTGTCCCTCACGTCCCTCACGTCCCTCGTGCTCTGTCTCTCTCAAATAAATAAAATGTTAATAATAATAATAATGGATATAATTGAGATAATAGGAAAATTTTGAGTAGGGTCTGTAGATTAAATAATAGCATTGTATCGGTGTTAATTTCCTGATTTTTATCTTACTGTGGTTTGGCAGGAGAATATCCTTTGTGTTAGGAAATACCCACTATTGGGGCGCCTGGGTGGCTCAGTTGTTAAGCGTCTGCCTTCAGCGCAGGTCATGATCCCAGGGTCCTGGGATGGAGCCTGACATCGGTCTCCCTGCTTGGCAGGAAGCCTGCTTCTCCCTCGCTCTCCCCCTGCTTGTGTTCCCTCTCTCGCTGTGTCTCTCTCTGTCAAATAAATAAATAAAATCTTAAAAACAAAAAAGGAAATACCCACTATTTAGGGATAAAGGGAATAATGTATATAATTTTACTCTCAAACGATTCCAGATGTATATATATAGGAGAGAGAAAATGATGAACCAAATGTGGCAAAATATTAACATTGGTGAATCTGAGTGAACGAATTTTTTATTCTATTCTTTGCAACTTTTAAAAGCTTTTTAAAAAAATTTTAGAGGACGTTTTTGCTACCACCACCATTTGGTGTTTAACAAGGCTCTGTCTGATGATGACTTTCTATGCTAACCTAATCCTTCTTCCTATAGAATGAATCCATTTTCTTTGTCTTTTCCTTGGTGAAAGAAGAAGGAAATAAAGGTCATCACATTTTTTTGTATAACAATCCTCTTAAATCCTTTAAGGTTGTTCTTAAATAACTTTCCTAGACTAAATTACTACAAGCTTTTGAAGCTTTCGTTGTGAATCTTTTCTACTTTTAATTATCTTCACTACACTCCTTGGACCCTTTTTATCACTTTTAGAGAGCCGCTCTTGAACTGGACAAAATTCAAATGTCTCTACCATGGTCAGTGACCACTGACACAGTGGTATCTCTATGTCATTCTTTTTTTTTAAAGATATTTGTTTGTTTATTTGTTTTAGAGAGAGATCGTGCACAAGTGGGGAGAGAAGCAGAGGGAGAGGGAAAGAGAATCTGAAGCAGACTCTGTGCCAAGTGTGGAGCCCAAAGTGGGGCTTGATCTCACAACGATGAGATCATGACCTCAGCTGAAACCAAGATTCAGACGCCTAACCAACTGAGCACCCAGGCACTGCTCTATGTCATTTTCTTATAACTTGTAATGCAGTTCCCCATTTTTTTGTCACAGTATGTGCCTTTATTTTTTTAAATTTTATCTTATTATGTTATGTTAATTACCATACATTACATCATTAGTTTTTGATGTAGTGTTCCATGATTCATTGTTTGTGTATAACACCCAGTGCTCCATTCAATACGTGCCCTCTTTAATACCCATCACTGGGCTAACCCATCCCCCCACCCCTCGCCCGTCTAGTACCCTCAGTTTGTTTCTCAGAGTCCCATCGTCTCTCATGGTTCATCTCCCCCTCCCATTTCTCCCATTGCTAGTGATAGCAATACATTTGCTGGCTCCAGTTCTGTTTGAGATCTCTAGATCTTTCTTGGAGTTCTCAATTGCACATACCTAGCTATTCTCTTGTACCTGTAAGGAAACAGTCTTCAGGGGACACCTGGGTGGCTCGGTTGACTAAGCGTCTGCCTTTGGCTCAGGTCATGATCCCAAGGTCCTGGGATCAAGCCCCATGTCAAGCTCCCTGCTCAGCAGGGAGCCTGCTTCTCCCTCTGCCTGCTGTCCCCCCCAACCCCCGCTTGTGCTCTCTCTCTCTTTGACAAATAATAAATAAAATCTTAAAAAAAAATTTTTTTTTTTTTTTAAAAGAGCCTTCAAAAGTAAATCAAAGTATGGATCTTTGAACTCTCTGA